TGTTTATTGTATAATTAATTGTTTCTACATGTGAAAATTATGTTGTCTTATTGTTTTAATACACACAAAAAAAACGAAGGCGATTTATGACTGTGAATAGGGTATAAAGGGAGATCAGTGTCATTTATTTAATACACATTGCGCTACTCTCTAGATAATTATCTTTTTGATAATTATCTATACTTACCTTTTGGTTAATTATAAATAATAGTAATCAAGATAATGCTATAATTAATATAATAAAAACATACGAGGTCTACTAAAATTTTGATCCAATTTTTTCGTATTAAATTTAAATAGAACCTAAATATTTTTGAGAAAAATAAACCAACCAACTTAACGCTAACATTTATTCTTTTATCTTATAAGCTTTTGAAATAGGATATATTGCTAATAGTAGTTGCTGTTACGGCTGCATTTATGCTTGCACATTTTTACCTTAAAGGCCCCGTCATGTGGATAAAATTTGAGATAGTCATAAGTAAGGGGTCGTCAACCTGTGGCTCGCGAGCAGCATGCGGCCTTTAAAGTAAAGATACGGCTCTTCAACTCCATGCACCACTATTGATAAATATTTTTATTTTAATTACTTTTATTTTTATATACTCATGAAAACGTTTTCTATAACAGTCGGTAATTAAAGATATACACTATCTATTGAATTAGAATTTTTAGTTACTCCCTATTTCAATGTACTATTACATTGTCCATCCCGAATTGAAACAATCAACTTCATGGTTCATAACCAAGCCTATGCCTTACTTGAAGAAGTGGATAATTTAAAAAAAAAACATTCGCATCTTTTTGCTCAGATATTCACAGAAGAGAAATTAAAAGCGTTGAATTATTAAAGAACGTTAAGAAGCAATGGGCATAATGTGCATTTTTACTAACAATTTGATAAAGCTTTATTGTTAAATACAAAGTTCCACTCGACTTGTCTGTGAGGTGAAAAAATCTTCACACCCCACCCCCCTTTCCCTGTCCTATGGTTAGTGTTGTTTCAAATGTTTGGCATAATATTGATTGTAATGTTGATTGTAATGTTGATTGTAATGTTGATTGTAATGTTGATTGTAATGATGATTGTAATGTTGATTGTAATGATGATTGTAATGATGATTGTAATGTTGATTTTAATGTTGATTGCCCTAAAATCCCATTAAATCCACTCTAGCTGTGAAATCCGTGATTGCCCCCATCAGAAATGCAACCATAAAATACGATTGTTATGGGGCTGTCCATGAATATATCGACTCCCGAGACTCTTGAGAATAGTCACCAGGTACTTGTTACTTGGTGGTTTCCTTAACACGATGAGCTGAAGCTCGATTTTTCAGACAGACAACGCATACCTTGGAGAAATCTTAGGTAGGATATCCCGTCAGGACCTCACTGAACTTCCTATAAACGCCTCAACACTGTACTCGGTTTTACGATCAAGGTAAAGCACATTTTAACTTGACCACACTACACACACTGAACTCAAAATACACCTAATTCTCATGAAATTATCATCCATTCTCCCTAAAACGTTTACACATTACAAAACAAATCTTTTGATATTCTCATTCTTTCTCCCCTAAATGTTAATACTTTACCAAAACATGAACATCGCCACGGTTACTTAAGACAAAATTCTCAACACTCCACCCATTAGAATCGAGGTTGGGTGTCACCCGGTGCGGAACCTAATGGTGTCACCCCCATCCCGTAAGAAAAAAAAATTATATATATGTATATATATATATATATATATATATATATATATATATATATATATATATATATATATATTCTATATACACTTGTAAGTATGTTTGACGCATGTGTATACGCCTATGTATTTAATTTTTTTTTACCCCTCCCCCCCCAGCACCCTATACATGGATTAACATATAGCTTATTACGATTCTTAACCAAACAGTTATCCTCAGACATATACATTACAACGTTGAGTTGATGTAACTCTCAACCCCCCTGGTCACCCCCACGGAGATTGCTTTAAACTGTGCTCAGATAATACTAACGATTTGTGTCTATTTGCGGTAAAAATTCATCTGGATGTTGCATCTTTTCTTTATCATTAGCAGGTTTACATCATGGTGTCAAACCCCCCCCCCCTCTCCACTGAAATTGGAGTCGACGGCCTACATAGCGCATAACATGCTGACACGTAATACTTACTGTGTTGGAGGCAGGGTCAGCGCTACCTATAAGGCGAACTAGGCGGTCGCCTAGGATGCCATCCCTACTGGGGCGCAAAATGTTAAATCGCTATCATCAAAAACACCTAATAATTAAAAACTTTGATTATCTTTTATAAACTATAGATGGTAATATACAAAAGAATAGTGGTCTATTTTGGCGCCCAGGACGAACTATCAATTTTGCACTTCCGCCCCAAAATTAGACCTATATAGGCGTATATTTATTCGCGATCGTGAAAATACAATCCCACCTCCCTAATTTGGAAAGCTTCGAGGCGCATTTTACCAGTCACTTTGCCTTTTTATTTTGGTTTCACATAATTGATGTAGAAAACGATTAAATAAGTTCGTAATTTAAATTTCGAACATTTCAAACAGTTATCTAATTTTAATGTTGATTTAGTGATCGCTCCAGCGCATGACAGGACGTTCCAAAACACGTGCAATTTTGGTTTTTAATAGGGCTTGTAAGTCTCGTTTTCTCTGACTTTGCATTAAAAATCTGCTCTGGTGTATTGAGTTTTGTAATGACGGGGTATTCAAAGTATTGTACTTGTTTGGTAAGTTTTGTTGAATCGTTTAGATTTGGGAGTAACGACTGTTGCGTAGTTAAAGGTCTAGTGCAGGGGTCGGCAACCTGCGGCTCGCGAGCCGCATGCGGCTCTTTTGATATCAAGATGCGGCTCTCCAGCTCTTTGAACAAATACTAATAATCTTAATAAAAAAATAAAATATTTAAAATAAAAAACATGTTAGTGGCTCTTTAAAAACAGGGAAATTTTGAAAATTGTAACTTTTGGCTCTTCCGCTTCAAAAGGTTGCCGACCCCTGGTCTAGTGGAATCTGATTGGTAGTAGAGAAATGAGAATGTAGGTGATGAGGTATCGTAGTTCTGGAGTTCGAGAGTATCGAATATTGTGGTAATAAGGTATTGAATTGTGTTGACTGTTAAATCGTTGTTGATTGGGAGTATCGTTTGTAGAGCTTGGTGAAGATTAGTGAGTTCGTGTCGTACTTCTGAAGCTTCGAGTCTAGTTATGCTAAGGTATCGAAGTTTGATGTCTTGTGAATGTAGTAGAGTATATCTAATAGTCGAGTTTATCGTAAGTTGGATGATTTCAATTCAGGACGGAACACACTACAAAGAAAGGTAGACGGTCTCTAACTGAAAAATGTTGTGTTTTTCAGGAATCTATATTACCACTCTTTAAAGTATTAATATATAATATTATATAGGCGGGAATTTATAACTAACCGTAAAGTTTTTTTTCCAAATTATAATTTGTTATACTTAATCAATAATTATAGCAATGTCTTAGACAGCTACCCGTATTTGATTTTTTTCGATAGTCTTCCCTTTATCTAGGTGACAAAAAAATTTTCATTATTAAATAAGAGACACAACAACGTTTGATGGAATGTCATCAAATTTGGTTAGAAGTGTGTTCAAATAAAGCTACCGTATTTAGACTTTCAAACAAAACCTACGGTTAAGTATTCAAATAGTAAAATATGTTCTTTTGACACAGTGTCATAGTTCATATAAAAGATCTCTTATAATTATTACCTCATGAAATTTAGAGCGTTTTATGATGTTTTTCAAGCATGTATTAGTTACACTTGGTTAATTTAGCTATTCTTGTGAAAGTTAGTTCCCTTGAATAAAATTTTGGTTTTGGATTTCCAAATGGGAGATAATTCATTGCTTAACTTTACATTCAATTCAAATTCCTACACCTAGGTTGACCGTTTACAAGTTATTATTTGCTATTGTAAAAATTATATAGAGCAGAAGTTCTAAACAAAATAGTTTGGTATGTTTTTTTTTTAGCATTATCAAGTTGAAAAACAAAAACATCAGTAGCTGTTGTAGAAAGCAATACTTAATGTTAATATACATACATTATGAGATAGTGCAACAAATGCGTCTAAAATCGTAGCAGTCGCAAATTACTCATCTAATTAAGTGTCTTTTCTCTCTTGATCCTCAGCCAACTTCTGTACTTGTCGTAGATGCACTTTATTCATTGACCCGCCTAACCCGATCAATATGCAGTCATTACAATTTAAAAGGTCAAACGATACAGAGGTCATGTAACAAGAGACACACGATAAATTATATGCTTCGTTATGTTTTCCTTTAACTTTAAGAGAATATTAAACCGAGACTTAATTTTTATTTTAATTTTATCTGTTACTCATGTGCGATTTTTAAAACTGTTTAAGTGATATAAGGTGTTTTGTTAATGGCAATATAATTCACTGTAACGTTGACATTTAACACTTGCTTTCATACTAGACCAGGGGTCTCCAAACTTTTCAGTCCGAGGGCCGCATTAACTATCAAATTTCAGTTCGGGGGCCAGTTTCTTCCAGGCATGTCTTTGATTTTTCTGGGCAAAGTTCCTCAGCCATCACCAACAAACGATTTTTCCTTTGACAAAAAGATCTCCGCGGGCCGGATGAGAGGACTTCGCGGGCCGCATCTGGCCCGCGGGCCGTAGTTTGGAGACCCCTGTACTAGACCATTATAAAAATATGAATTGTTAAATAGTAGTCACAATCTCGTCATTTACGATTGTTTTTATCAGATTTTACTAAAAATGAAAATAGCTTGTGCATCTTTTTTCTCTAAACTCCTTCGCCCCCCCCCCCCGATTCGACTATATAAGTAAATATCACCAGATTAGGCTACACGCAACAGATGTAGCATACATGTTGACATCATTCACAGCACGCATGTTAAACAGGAGGAAATGAGGTTCAAACAAAAGGAATCCGTGTTGTGTAATGTGTAATGTGTCCAACCCAAGGTGTGTTTACCTTGACGACGCTAGTCCCAACCACAGCCCTAAATTTAAGAAATCGATACCCAATGGTTCGATCAGGGACTCGAACGGGAGTTTTAAAAGTGACACGTCACATCCGGTCTCTTCTAACGGAAGTGTTAAAGACGGTAAAAGCGCGAAGACAACGGATAAGGAGAGCTTGAAGAGTAAAAAATCCGTACGGAAAAATCCGCTGCAGCTGTTGAAAAAGTTGACCAAGTTTGATAAACCGAAACAAAAACCAGACTACAGGTAGGTTGGTGTAAAATAAATTATTGCTGGTTGCTAAGATACTGATAACATATGATACATTTACAGCATTATCTGTGCTGTTACTAGTCAGGTTTGTAGGGGGGGGGGTTGTATAATTGGCATCGTTTAATTAGATTTGGTGTAGTTCTAAATAAAGTAATAGCTATAATACTATAATAATTGTACATGGAAGAACATGAAAACATAACCATTCGCGGTTACTGGAACTGCCTGGTCGGATGCTAGAGCTTACTTCTGCTTACCTGAAAGTCTCGCGTTCGGATCCCGGGCACGTCCGTATGTCGTCCCTGAGTCCACCCAGCTCTAATAGATACTGACTCACGTTAGGGAAAGTAAAGGTAGCTGGGCATAGTGCGGACCATACCATCCATTAATATGCCAAGGTCACTGAAATAGGTGAACTCTACTTCACCTGCTGAAGGTTACTTTACATTATTTTCTACTCACTGTTTCGATCTTTCAAGCTCGGATTTTAACCTTTAGCTCTGTATTTATCTGTGTCGATTGTTAGAGTTTTGTGTAGAGAGTAAGTGTCAAATGTTGCGTCATTAGAACTGGCGGGGTCTATGTAGGCAGGTGGCCAAAGAGATGGGGATTGAGGGAATTTTACATTTGATGAATTAACTCATATTTCGCCTAATTTATACTGTGAAATATTATTATAACATTGTTTCCTAACCTTTTCTAACTATTTAGCTAAATGATTTGCTTTCAGTTTCATCGAAAACATATTTGAAAGCCATTGATACACATAGTCTTGAATAATATTAATATATAGTAAAAACATATCACTTTAATTGAAGTTTAATCCAAAAAGATTAAATAGCCATGGATCCTTAAAATATGTTGTTAAAGCAGAATGTTTTAAAGTTAATTTGAGAAAATTAAATAGCCATTAGTCCTTACAATACTTGTAGAGTTGAAGCTAAACATTTTCATAACTCGTAGCAAGAAATAAAAGTTTTTTTTTTGTTATCTAATATTTTTACAATATGTGTAGTCTTTATGTTAAACATTTTCATAACTCGCTTCTAGAAATACAGTTTTATGTAGTTATATAATTTCATTACGATATGAGTAGTGTTTTAATTAAACATTTTTAAAACTCGTAGCTAATAATTAAGTTTTATTTTCTCATTTAGTATTCTTACAATATGTTTGGTGTTTAAGTTATATATTTTCATAACTCGAAGCAAAAAATGAAGTTTTATATTGTTATATAATTTTCTTACGATTGCGTGTAGTGTGTAGTGTTTAAATGTATCAGTTTTATAACTCGCTTCTAGAAATAAAGTTTGATATTGTTATATAATTTTCTTACGATATGTGTAAAATAGAACCAGTTTATAACTTGAAACAAGAAATGCTACAGTACTGTTTAACATATCCCTACATCTTTGGTTATTGTCGTTTAGGTCCAAGTGTAACATATCCCTGAATCTGTGGTTGTTGTCGTTTAGGTCCGAGTGTAACATATCCCTGAATCTGTGGTTGTTGTCGTTTAGGTCCAAATGTAACATATCCCTGAATCAGTGGTTGTTGTCGTTTAGGTTCGAGTGTAACATATCCCTGAATCTGTGGTTGTTGTCGTTTAGGTTCGAGTTTAACATATCCCTGAATCTGTGGTTGTTGTCGTTTAGGTCCAAGTGTAACATAGCACTGAATCCGTGGTTGTTGTTGTTTAGGTCCAAGTGTAACATATCCCTGAATCTGTGGTTGTTGTCGTTTAGGTCCAAGCGTAACATATCCTGAATCTTTGGTTGTTGTCGTTTAGGTCCAAGTGTAACATATCCCTGAATCTGTGGTTGTTGTCGTTTAGGTTCGAGTGTAAGATATCCCTGAATCTGTGGTTGTTGTCGTTTAGGTTCGAGTTTAGCATATCCCTGAATCTGTGGTTGTTGTCGTGTAGGTCCAAGTGTAACATATCCTTGAATCTGTGGTTGTTGTCGTTTAGGTCCAAGCGTAACATATCACTGTGGTTGTTGTCGTTTAGGTCCGGGTGTAACATATCCCTGAATCTGTGGTTGTTGTCGTTTAGGTCCAAGCGTAACATATCCTGAATCTTTGGTTGTTGTCGTTTAGGTCCAAGTGTAGCATAACTCTGAATCTGTGGTTGTTGTCGTTTAGGTCCGAGTGTAACATATCCCTGAATCTGTGGTTGTTGTCGTTTAGGTTCGAGTTTAGCATATCCCTGAATCTTTGGTTGTTGTCGTTTAGGTCCAAGAGTAACATATCCCTGAATCTGTGGTTGTTGTCGTTTAGGTTCAAGTGTAACATATCACTGAATCTGTGGTTGTTGTTTAGGTCCGAGTGTAAGATATCCCTGAATCTGTGGTTGTTGTCGTTTAGGTTCGAGTGTAAGATATCCCTGAATCTGTGGTTGTTGTCGTTTAGGTCCGAGTGTAACATACCACTGTGGTTGTTGTCGTTTAGGTCCGGGTGCAACATATCCCTGAATCTGTGGTTGTTATCGTTTAGGTCCAAACGTAACATATCCTGAATCTTTGGTTGTTGTCGTTTAGGTCCAAGTGTAGCATATCCCTGAATCTGTGGTTGTTGTCGTTTAGGTCCGAGTATAAGATATCCCTGAATCTGTGGTTGTTGTCGTTTAGGTTCAAGTGTAACATATCCCTGAATCTGTGGTTGTTGTCGTTTAGGTTCGAGTTTAACATATCCCTGAATCTTTGGTTGTTGTCGTTTAGGTCCAAGTGTAACATATCCCTGAATCTGTGGTTGTTGTCGTTTAGGTTCGATTTTAACATATCCCTGAATCTGTGGGTGTTGTTTAGGTCCGAGTGTAAGATATCCCTGAATCTGTGGTTGTTGGCGTCTTGGTCCGAGTGTAACATATCCCTGAATCTGTGGTTGTTGTCGTTTAGGTCCAAGTTTAACATATCCCTGAATCTGTGGTTGTTGTCGTTTAGGTTCGAGTTTAACATATCCCTGAATCTGTGGTTGTTGTCGTTTAGGTCCAAGTTTAACATATCCCTGAATCTGTGGTTGCTGTCGTTTAGGTCCGAGTTCTCTGCCGTCGTGGTGGACAAGCTACCTCAGGTGTTTGTGGTCAAGTACCTGGGTCACCGTGTGGTGACTGGTGTGTGTGGCCTGCACCACGTGAGGAAACCGGTGGACGAGATGGTGGCGGCGGTGAGGTCAAAGGTTGACGACAAGGCCAAGGTGAGATCATGTTGAGTGGACTGGACTGAAAGGGTTGGCAGAGTTTCTTCCGGGGTGGGGGGGGGGCACTGTGGACATAAGTGGTTATCAGTGTTTCTTCCAGGCTTTTTGCTCCGGGGGGGGGGGGGGAGGCACTTGAAATATTTTTTGGGTTGGTGGGAACTAAAAATTTTGGGTAGTGGGTGGACACTGGTATAAGTATATATTCTCTATAGAAATTGTTTTTCGTTGAGGGGAGGGGGGGGTAGACATATTTCGGACAGAGCTCCGCCCCGCACGCCACCTCCCCCCCCCCCGAAGTGATATCTGGAAGAAACTGGTGGTTCGGTGTTTCAACATAGACGTTAGAAGAACACAAACACAAAATATGATATAAGGATTAGATTCAGCGGTCATGTAGCTTATTTAGTTGGTTAGTTCAAAAGGTATAACAGTAGACCACTTGTAAATAAAACATTTAAAAAATTGCAAGAGACGGTGTGGTCGAATGGTAGAGTGTTCGACTGCTAAACTGAAAGTCTCGAGTTCAGATTCTTGGCTCGAATCCGTATGACATTACTGTCTTCTCAGTTTTGATAGGTACCTGACTCACGATATGGAGAGTAAAGTTTTCTTGACATAGTGATGAATACACCATCCCTCCATATGCCGAAGTCAATGAAACAGTTGCAATCTACTTCATGGACCATAAGGTTCAGAATAAAACTTTACTTACTTAACGCACATTATCTATGCTTAAATCACGTTTTAATAAAACTTACCATAAAAAAGGGAGACAACAACAGTTTTTCTTTTTCTTCAAATTTATCACAGTTGAATAAGCCACGAATTCATTTAATGGTGAATATAATACAAAACCAATACCTTTCAGGTGGAGCTCCCGCTTCTCTACGTCGTGGTCAGCCCCAAAGGCCTTGACCTTCGCGAGCACAAGAGCAACAAGGTCCAGGGCGCAGCTCCCCTGGGGCTGATGCCGATCGACTTCATCTCCTACGGCGTGCAGGACATCAAGTACTGGCGTGTCTTCACCTGCATCGTCGTCCGCGAGCTGTCGTCACGGTCACGCTCTGCCACCTGCCACGCCTTCCTCTGTGACTCCTCCCACAACGGCCGCAAGATGGCGCTGTCCCTGGGTGCGGCGTTTAACTTGTACTCCAAGCAGCTGAGAGTGGACGGGAAGCCGCATAACTTCCAGATAGAGTTGCGTCCCCCTGATGAGCTGGCTGATACGCTGAATGCGGATTGTGAGGCGTAGGTGGTGGTCACGTGATCTAGACAGTGGCGTCGCTGGGTCGGGTGATAAAACAGAGTGAGGCGTGACGCACCTCTCTATTAAAAGACATCTTGTAGGGCAGACTGAGGTAGACACCCCTCAACTAACAGAAACGCTGAATGCTTAGAATGAGGTGTAAATTGATGATACATGATCTCGTCAATGGCGTCGCTAATTCGGGTGATAAAGCAGACTGGGGCGTGACGCACCCCTCTGTTAAAAGACTTCATTTAGGGCAGACTGAGGTAGACACCCCTCAACTAACAGAAACGCTGAATGCTTAGAATGAGGTGTAAATTGGTAATACGTGATTTCGACTACGGCGTCGCTAGGTCGGGAGATATTCGATGAAGCAGCCTGGGGCGTGATACACCCTCAACTAAAGATTTCATGTAAGGCAGACTGAGGCGGACACCCCTCAACTAACAGACATGATGAATGCTTAGAATGAGGTGTAAATTGATGATACGTGATCTCGTCTACGGCGTCGCTATGTCGAGAGTTAAAACAGAATGGGGCATGACGCACCCCTATCTAAAGACTACATGTATCACGTACTAAATCTCGAGAAACTTAGTGTGATTCCACGTTCCAAATAATGTCGGGCTGTGCCCAACGATCTACATAACTTTCAAAATGTATACAATCAACTATATTAAGTACATTCTTCTTAAATTTAGCAGTTATTTGCTTAGGTGTGCCCCCACAACCATGGTAATGTGTAGCACTCTGGGATGGTTAAATGATGTCACCTGGTGCGTTGACCACCCCACCCCTTCCACCCCTAGTGTCATGTGACGCTACTGGCCTACGTATTCGATTGTACATGATCTACATATTTATCAAGTCAACTCCGGCGCTTCACTACTATCCTCGACTAAAAATAGACAAACTTTACATAAAGAATTGGAGGCCAAAGTTCACACTACGTTATTTTCTGATGTAGTATGTACCCCACTATACTGCTGAATTGTTTAATTTTTGGTGTAGACGTTATAGATCTATATACAAAGACAGCATTGTTTGAAAAACGATTTCTGGAATTAACAATATGTACTATGTAATATCCAGAGTTTCTTCCAGGCATCTCGGGGGAGGGGGGGGGGGGGGGGGGGGGGGGGAATGGGCCAGCCGAAAAAAACGCCTTGAACAAAATATAATTTATGTAGGAAATATATACTTTTACCAGTGCCCCCCCCCCCTTTCCCGGAAAAAAAAACTGGAAGAAACACTGATTCTGGTAATATCACATTTGAAACATACCTTATCACAGGAGCAAACTGAATTCTTAGCAGCGATTCTATTAAAAGAATGTCCTTGTGTAGAAATATTTTCAGTTCGTACGAATATGATGAAAAATTGTTTTTTTTTTTTTTTTTTTGCTAAATTTAATTGCAGGAATATATTCTGATTTATAGCTAATAACTAACCGATTTAATATGGTTTTGAACTTTGGTGCTGTTTATTTTTATAATGTAACTAAATTATATCTAAGTCACTTTTTGTGTGTATTTTAGTCCATTCATCCATATTTTAATGTTTAAGTGTGATTTTATGATGTAAAACTGTTTTATATTCAACTTTACTTTGATAGAACAGTACTTTACGAAGGTGTGTTGTGTAATAGAAGTAGTTGAATTGGTGATGGAAGGCTAATATTTACTGAGCATTGAATGAATGACGCATGTAGTTGACATTCGGATGGATTACATATGTCAGATGCATGTGTTACGAATGACAGGTGTTGGATACATAACATAATTATGTTGGAAAACGTAAGCAACAGAAGCGGGTATTCTGTGTCCTGATACTGTTCTTAGAACATTATACTTACAGCCAAAACACCAATCAACACTTATATATATGTATATATATATATATATATATATATATATATATATATATATATATATATATATATATATATATTACATTTCTTCCATTAAATTAGTTCATGTATAAGTAAAGTACCCATTCAAATATGACGGTCGTGGTGAAAGTGGAGTTCACCTGTTTCAACGACCTCGGGATATGAAGGGATAGCCTAGTCAGCACTATGTTTAGGCGTCTCTAGGTTACCTAACGTGAGTCAGGTACCCATCACACCTCGCTAGACTCAGGGACGTTCTATGGACTTGACGTGCGCCTTGAACTAATGTCTTACGAGTTAGCATTCGTATGCTCTACCAACCAAACATACAGTTCCTCTGTCTCTCTTGCATATATATATATATATATATATATATATATATATATATATATATATATATATATATATATATATATATATATATATATATATATATATATATATATATATATATATATATATATATATATATATATATATATGCATATATATATATATATATATATATATATATATATATATATATATATATATATATATATATGAGATTACAAGTCTTGTTTACAATGATATAAACCACATAATTCAATAGGCTTATGCCGCAACATTTTTACATACAAAATATCAACAGTACACTGTGTATGTTGAAGCCTACAATATCCACAACAAAATATTGGAATTGGATAGAAATGTGTTTATCAACAAAGTAGACCTATATTATAGGCCTACATAACAGGTTGAAATTTATTTTTAATTCAAAATTGAGATCTCAAAACCGTCAATTTTTACACGTAATTAGTGAACAATAAATAAAAACAGAACATTTTTGATACACAGAACGCTATTAAGTTTTTTTTTAGTCTGTGTTTGGTTGTAACATGTCATTAAAAATAATAAAGGATTGTATTACAAAGTATTTTGTATTGTCTTTATATACTTAACAATCGATGTAAATGCATGTATAATGTTTATTGTGTAATTAATTGTTTCTACATGTGAAAATTATGTTGTCTTATTGTTTTAATACCAAAAAAAGAAGGCGATTTATGACTGTGAATAGGGTATAAAGGGAGATCAGTGTCATTTATTTAATACAAGTTGCGCTACTCTCCAGATAATTATCCTTTAGATAATTATCAATACTTACCTTTTGTTTAATTATAAATGATAATAATCAAGATAAAGCTATAATTAATATAACAAAACCATACGAGGTCTACTAAAATTTTGATCCAATTTTTTCGTATTAAATTAGAATAGAACCTAATTGTTTTTGAGAAAAATAAATTTACAAACTTAATGCTAACATTTATTCTTTTACTTTATATGCTTTTGAAATATTTTATAGATGGTGCATTTTCCTTTTTATACCCTTAAACTGATTTACTTTAATGGTCAGAAAACATAACGAAACCGCTAAAGAAAATTAAAAGCTCACAAAGTATATCAGCAACAAAGGTATCAGGTCAACTGTCATATAGTCAAGCAATCAGTTCAAGTAAAAATCATTTACCTACAGTAAAGCCACCTCAAAGGGCCGTGACCAGGGCCCAACGGGATAACAAACCAGCGGTTGGAAAGTTTGGCGTTAAAGACCACCACCATCCAGCCCTCCAGAAACAGATGTTCGAAAGAAAACCCCAAATAATTCATGTTAACTCTGGCAACATTGAACATCAGGGGGCTAGGGACAAAACACATTATATAAACAACATAATAAATAAACACAATATTGACATCCTACTTTTACAGGAAACTAACATTGGAGCTACAGAAGAAGCAATTAAACTAGATGCATACATCGGCATCAAAAACTCACTGCACAGTACTGGTTTCAACTGCAGAGGAACCAGTATACTTTGTACATCAGACAAACACAAAATTAAAAGTACATACACGGATAAACAAGGCAGGATAGCTTGTATCGCATTGAATATTGATAATACAGAAATAACAATCATCAATGTATACACCCCAACACAAAGACAAGAACAAAAACATTTCTATCACACGCTTAATGAACTTATAAATACCGAATACAAAAACAAGACGATATTTTTAGCAGGTGACTTTAATATGCTCATGAAATTATAACGGTAAACAAAGTAAAACACCTCGCTCAGAGATTCTAGATCTAGACTAGATCGAAATCTACGCTACGTCGCTAAGATCTATTCTAGATCTAGATTTAGACTCTATCTACTGTAGAATCTATTCCAAAAATAAATTTCTATAATAAACTTTTTCAGGACTTAAATATTTTATAGAAATCTTTGTTTGTTTAGCAATGAAACTGGCTAATTTTGGGTAAAAAAATTAATTTGAAAAAAAAAAGACATTTTTTAAACACTTTTTTTATTCTCCAGATTTTATAAGGTACCTAATTAGCTGAGATGATGGTGTACTTGATACCATATAGGTGGTGCTGGATCGAGACACACCAAGTCATACCTAATTTTTTTTTTTAATATGTGAAGCTTCTTATTTTAGACTTTAAAGAAAGGAACTACTTTATTAAAATTTGATTTAGATGTAGAACTATAGATCTACTCATAAAGACATACGCTATGAAATATATACAATATTATCGGTATGAAATGTATTTCTCAAACAAGTATGAAATTTAAAATATTTAAAATATTTATAGGTATATAGGTCTTTATTATAGAAACATAATAAAAATATCAGTTTTAAAACAAAAAGAATACCATTGAAAAGCCGGGTTTTTAAAGTCACTTAATCAGTTTTGGCATTTAAATTAATATGATAAAATTGTTTTCTTAGCCACAAAGAATTGTAAAATATAATGTAGTTTTGCTACTGCCCTACTGTTAAGATACCTTAGAAAAGGTCCGTCTACATATGTAATGTATAGCACCATTAGAAGTTAGTTAAAATTATACACGAGTGTTAATGACGCAATAAAAAACAATAACAAATGCCACGCAGATACTGATGACGTAATAGCACATTTTTAGAGAGAGTAGTGAAGACGCTCTTGCAACGAGAAATTATGACGTAAGCACATCATTTGTAGTTGCGACTAAGCTTTTATTGTGTACAATCGAAGACGACAAATTGACAACAAATTGTTTTTTACATTCCAGATTTTGTTGGTATTTCAATCTATAAAACATGTAAGATTATGTTCATAATATTATTCGGATGTAAAAGCTAGAAAAGTTGATTGACAAAATTAACTAAAGTTTTTCAGTGAGATATCATTATGATGATGGTATCCCTATTTATAGAAGAAGATCGTGTTATTGTTACAGCGTATGCATGGGAAAACTAACAAATAGTTGATTGTTTGATTAACATCTGATGAAGTAATCAAAATATAATAAATGAATCTAAAATAAACATTTTTCCGACTCTATTTGGGAAAAAAGTTTTGGAAAAAGATAATTATGCTGGGAGTTAAAAGAAAGCGGGGTGCAGGTTGGAGTAGGCCATTAGATAAGGCGAAGGGAGCGAGGATCAGAACAGAGAACGAAAGCCATGAAAATATAACAGCTCGCCTTTAAACTGACAGGGGAGAAGGAAAACAAAAGAAACTCAATAATGAAACGGATGAAGAAAGATTTCATCAAGCAAAGCGTAGTTCAAGGGCGACTAAAGCAGAGGAGTATGCACAGAGACGGAGGGAAAGGGACGCTGCTATAAAAAGGCAAAAACGTAAAAATGAAACCAAGGACGAAACAGAAGCAAGAAGGCAAACAGATGCTAAGCGTCATGCTATTTCTATAGCTAATGAAACAGCTAAAGAAACAGAAGCCAGAAGGCAAACAGATGCTAAGCGTCATGCTATTTCTATAGCTAATGAAACAGCTAAAGAAACAGAAGCCAGAAGGCAAACAGATGCTAAGCGTCATGCTATTTCTGTAGCTAATGAAACAGCTAAAGAAACAGAAGCCAGAAGGCAAACAGACGCTAAGCGTCATGCTATTTCTGTAGCTAATGAAAAAGTTAAAGAAACACAAGTCAGAAGGCAAAGGGATGCTGAGCGACATGCAATCGCTGTTGAAAATGAGTCTTCGGATGAAACTTTTCGACGCAAACAACAAGACAATGAAAGACATAAACAAGCAATTGCTAGAGAAACATTAGAAGAACGCCAAACTAGACAAATCCTAGATGCTTCCCGCTTTAGAGAAAGACGTGCAAATGTCACACAAGAACAAAGAGCACAAAATAAAAATAGAATGAGACAAAATAGAAATAGAATGACTGATATTCCGTTCTTGGACTGATTTCGATGATTTCGATGAAAGTGACGTTCAAATACATAATTGTGGACACATGGACCAGGTCTGTGAAAAATGCAGAACAAGATTTTTCCCAAAAGAGCGACCTACTGACAAAATGTTTATAGTTTGTTGTAATAAGGGAACAATAGAGTTACCACAATTTGAAAGTCATGAGTATTTAAAGAACCTTATGCTTGGACATGACAGAGATTCCAAAATTTTTATGGAACATATACGATTTTACAACAGTGCTTTTGCGTTCGTTTCGGTAGAAGCAAAAATTGATTTTCCTAGAGGTCGTGGACCATTCACGTTTAGAATTCACGGGCAGGTTTATCACAGAAGCGGGACATTACACCCCACAGAAGGAGTGAAGCCAGTTTTCGCTCAACTCTATGTTTTGGATAAGCAAGTAGCTATATCGGAAAGACTGGATAACGCTGCTAATGCGAATTGCCGAAGGAATATAATGGAAAAATTGTATGAGGTGATGAAGGAAAACCCATTCTCCTTGGCATACCGGATGATGTATGAAGTTGAGCGTGAAGAAACCGAGAGAGCTATTGCAAACGGTGAAGAGATTCCTAAAATAACCATGCGTTTAATTCAGGATCGAGACCAGGACCAACGACGATACAACGCGCAGCATTGTAATGAGGTTGCCGTAGTTTTTAAAAGCTCAGACGGAGAACCACCACTGCAGAGAGACCTAATGGTATATTTGAGAGCAGACGGAGAAAATTTTCAGAGAATGCAACAAGTTTCTATTTTGCATAGGAATTTGGATGCATTATGCTATCCGCTTTTGTTTCCTAAAGGCGAACAAAGATGGGGGGAGGAATTACGACTAACAGGGTCGCGCAGGAATAGTGAGAATACGAGGACTAGAGTCAGCTTAAAGATGTATTATTCATACTACTTGCAAGTTCGAGATTATTTTAACCCTCTGTTAAGCGCTGGGAGACTTACACAACAATACATTTGTCGATGCTTACGTTAAAGCCGAGTCAAATGACTTGAACTTTATTCGAACACATCAAAAACAGTTGAGATGTAATACCTACAGAAATCTTATTCCTTATATTCAAAACGATGATATTGACTCGGCAGTACCTGGTCGTAGAGTGATACTTCCATCCACATTCAGTGGAAGTCCGCGAAACATGCAACAGTTGTACCAAGATGCAATGGCCATTGTTAGAAAGTTTGGGAAACCAGATTTTTTTGTTACAATGACATGCAACCCTAAGTGGCCATTGTTAGAAAGTTTGGGAAACCAGATTTTTTTGTTACAATGACATGCAACCCTAAGTGGCCATTGTTAGAAAGTTTGGGAAACCAGATTTTTTTGTTACAATGACATGCAACCCTAAGTGGCCATTGTTAGAAAGTTTGGGAAACCAGATTTTTTTTGTTACAATGACATGCAACCCTAAGTGGCCATTGTTAGAAAGTTTGGGAAACCAGATTTTTTTGTTACAATGACATGTAACCCTAAGTGGCCATTGTTAGAAAGTTTGGGAAACCAGATTTTTTTGTTACAATGACATGCAACCCTAAGTGGCCATTGTTAGAAAGTTTGGGAAACCAGATTTTTTTGTTACAATGACATGCAACCCTAAGTGGCCATTGTTAGAAAGTTTGGGAAACCAGATTTTTTTGTTACAATGACATGCAACCCTAAGTGGCCAGAGATTGAAGAAAGCCTTTTACCAGGACAGAGGCCCGAGAACAGGCCAGACATTGTAGATCGAGTTTTTAAGCTCAAATTGCAACAGTTGTTGAAAGACATTTCAGAGAAAAAAATCTTTGGTCGAGTCGTCGCATTAGTTCACGTGATTGAGTTCCAGAAGCGTTGCCTGCCACATAGTAATAACTGTGGAAGGTGAATTTAAGCCCAGAACGTCGACCATTGTTAACAAAGCTGTTGTTGCAGAACTACCTGATAAGGAAAAGTTTCCAAGACTTTTTCATGTTATTAGCTCATATATGATACATGGTCCGTGTGGCGTCTTAAACTCCCAATCTACCTGCATGGCTAATGGAAAATGCTCAAAAAAGTTTCCTAAGAAGTTCTTAGAGGAAACAAAGATAGTACAGGATGGATATCCTATATACATGAGAAGAAAAAACGAACCAGTTACGATTGGGAAGCATTCAATAGATAACTCTTGGATAGTGCCTTACAATGCTTATCTAAGTTTAAAATATGAATGCCAATTTTTTGTGGAAATTTGCGAATCTTTTTCAAGCATAAAGTATCTGTTCAAGTATGCTTACAAAGGCACTGATAGCGCTAATGTTCAGGTAACAGCTGATGAGATCAAGACTCATCTAGACTCACGATATGTAAGCCCCCCAGAAGCCATGTGGCGGATATTCCGTTTTAAGATGCATGACCAGACTCATGCAATAATTCGGTTACCCTTCCATTTGGAAGGAGATCCATATGTGACATTTGACCCCGACAATATTCGCCAGGTGGTTGAATCGGTCCCGGGAAAGGAAACAAGGCTGACTGCGTGGTTCAAGTTGAACAGAAGAGATGGAAATGCAAAACGATTCAAGTACCACGAGATACCTGAACATTATGTGTTTCATGAAAAGGAAGGAGTTTGGACTCTTCGAAAGAGATTGCAGGGAAGAGTTATTGGAAGAATCCTCCCCGTTAATATTAATGACACCGAAAGGTACTTTATGAGACTATAACTTCTCAATGTTCCTTTGAATATTTGAGAAAAGTTGATGGAATTAGCTATGATAGCTACTATAAAGCTGCTAAGGAGAGAGGTTTAGTCATTGATGAAAATGTTTGGAATGAGACATTGGCAGAGGCATGCATTGTTGCTATGCCATAAGAAGCTCGAGCACTTTTTGCGTACATGTGTTTGTACTGTGAAAATTGTGAAAATACGGATGCCTCCAACTTATGGAACCAGCACAGAGCCAGATTAAAAGATTTTGTATTGAGACACGGTCACCCTGCTGAAGCTGACTGCGACATGTGTGATTCTTTTGGTTTGAACAAAATTGAAGAGATTTTGATAGGTCAAGAAAAAAGATGTAAAAATTACCATCTACCGACACCGAACCCTAACCATGTTGGGCAAATGAATGAATACATTGACAGAGAACAAGAGAGCATGTTAGGGCAGGAGATGGAGGCAAACCTTAATGAAAAGCAACGAGCTGCCTTTGATGCGGTCATGGAAGCCGTGAACGATCACACTATAAGAAGCAAGTGCTTTTTTCTTGATGGTCCAGGTGGTACCGGAAAGACTTATCTGTATGATACTTTGCTTCATACAATCAGAGGTAAAGTTCAATCAATGCATTGCCGCCAATCTTTTGAACAATGGTAAAACCTACCATTCTCAGTTTGGGTTACTTTTAAAACTAAATGAAACTTCTGTCTCTAGATTTACAGCGACTTCTACAGAAGCTGGAAAAATTCGAAAAGCCGTCGGAACTCTTATGAATGAAGCATCAATGTGTCCATCACTTGCTGCTGAATGCATCAATAAGCTTTATGAAGACATTACGATATCAAATATTGCTTTTGGAGGAAAAGTTTTCTTGGCAGGGGGAGATTTTCGCCAATGTTTACCTGTAGTTCCTGGTGCAGAACCAGCTGAAGTTGTTCTAGCAAGTTTAAAGCATTCGAAACTCTGGGACGAGTTTAAAATTTTAAAATTAGATCTCAATGTTAGATCAGTTGACCCCGAGTACAACAATTGGCTTTTGAAACTGGGGAATGGTGAATTGGGCAATGACTTTGATCTAGGAAGAGACATTATAGAGATCCCGGAACAAATGATTGAGTCAGAGGACATCGTCAAGACAATTTACGGGACATGCTTGAAGCATGAACACATGGAACTGTTTTATGGCATTGGAATTCTATGTCCCAAAAATGAAGACGTTGACTCAATAAATCAAAAGGTCTTGGACCTTCTGGAAGGGGAGGAGAAGGCTTATTTGAGTTTTGACTCATTAGTATCTGAAGACAATGAAGACACTAGCGACTATCCAACAGAACTGTTGAACACTTTAAACCCATCAGGTACAGCACCTCATGAATTGAAGCTAAAAGTCGGAGCAATTATTATGCTTTTAAGAAATTTGAACACGAACCAAGGATTGTGCAATGGCTCTAGATTGGTCGTAACTAAGATGATGAGAAATGTCGTGGAAGCCAAGGTTATCACTGGCAAAGTGAAAGGTAACATTGTTCTTATTCCAAGAAGTGATCTAAAGACTGACTCTGGACTGCCTTTTGAACTGAAGAGACGACCATTTCCACTGAAGCTAGCCTTCGCAATGACTATCAACAAGTCGCAAGGCCAAACCCTTGACAAGGTCGGGCTATATTTGTCGACCCCAGTTTTTGGCCATGGTCAACTTTACGTTGCATTCTCAAGAGCCCGGAGGAGTGCAGATGTAAAGGTTTTTGTCAAGGACTCGGATGAACAAGGGAAGTTAGTTACTGGAAGTGAGAAAGTTTTCACCAGAAATGTTGTATAAATTCGCCAAACTAGGTACACTACAGATGTTCCCGATTTTGAGACTTTGCCCATACAATCAGAGGTATAAGCCAAACAAGACAACATATAAAACAAAAACCCTTTCTTTTTGGTGTTTTCATAATCTTAACAATGTTTCACTTCAATTCTCCAGATCAATAAAATGTTTCTTTTTCTAATTTTCCGATAATGACTTTTTTTTAAAAAGCTGAATTACAATTCATTTCATTAATCACTTTCTGTAGATATATGCAGCTTTTTCAGGCATCTCTACTGTTTCTTCTCTTTTCACCTCGGAACAAAATTGAAAAAAAAAAAGTATTTCATAAAAAATATAGAAAAATCATTATCCGCTACCCCCCCCCCCCCCCCCCCCCCCCACCCTTCCACGGAAAGTTTTAAGAGCTGCTACCCGGAGATAAGTATGTAAAAGAAAAACTGAGTAGCATATATGTATGTGAAGAGAATAGAGCTAAAATTCACCAGAATTGCCCGTGTAACGGGTACCGATGGCTAGTAAGAATAAGAAAAGGGAATTACATATATAGATTACTAGTAATTATTTTTTGGATTATTTTTAGCTTTATGAACCAGGCACTAATTTTATACTTATCACAGAAATGCTATAAAATATTCAGTTTTTGTTGAAAAATAATTTTTCTGGCAAGAAAAAATTTGGAAACATTTGGAACCAGCTTTTCAAGCCTATTGAGACGGGTGATTGTTTTAACATTGAGCCTCCTACAGTTTTGAGAGTCTGACTCACAATAATCAAGTATTAAAATACTTTGATGTTGATACCTAATTATAGGGTGAATATTTTAATGAGCTAATATGTCTAATAATAAGGAAACCTGTTGCATATAGAACAATGTCGATGATAATTTGAAAGTAAAATTTGAAATGTAGGCAGATCTTATTTTAAAAAGCTCAATCTTAAATAAATAAATATACAAAATAATTTATGAATGTTTCTCCAAGGTTATGGTGACTCGTGGCTCAGTCTCAGCTGACAGCTATATTGCTTACAGTCTTACTGTCCTTCCTCTAGCTATATTGTTGACTGTCTTACTGTCCTTCCTCTAGCTATATTGCTGACTGTCTTACTGTCCTTCCTCTAGCTATATTGCTGACTGTCTTACTGTCCTTCCTCTAGCTATATTGCTGACTGTCTTACTTTCCTTCCTCTAGCTATATTGCTGACTGTCTTACTGTCCTTCCTCTAGCTATATTACTGTCTTACTGTCCTTTCTCTAGATATAGTGCTGTCTGTCTTACTGTACTTCTTCTTACTATAGTTCTGACAGTTTTACTGTCCCTTTCTAGGTATAGTTCTGACTGTCTTACTGTCCTTCTTCTAGCTATAGTTCTGACTCTCTTACTGTCCTTCTTCTAGCTATAATTTTGACAGTTTTACTGTCCCTGTCTAGCTATAGTTCTGACTGTCTTACTGTCCTTCTTCTAGCTATAGTTCTGACTCTCTTACTGTCCTTCTTCTAGCTATAGTTCTGACTCTCTTACTGTCCTTCTTCTAGCTATAGTTTTGACTGTCTTACTGTCCTTCTTCTAGCTATAGTTTTGACTGTCTTACTGTCCTTCTTCTAGCTATAATTCTGACTGTCTTACTGTCCTTCCTCTAGCTATATTGCTGACTGTCTTACCGTCCTTCCTCTAGCTATATTACTGTCTTACTGTCCTTTCTCTAGCTATATTGCTGTTTGTCTGACTGTCCTTCTTTTTACTATAGTTCTGACAGTTTTACTGTCCCTTTCTAGCTATAGTTCTGACTGCCTTATTGTCCTTCTTCTAGCTATAGTTTTGACTGTCTTACTGTCCTTCTTCTAGCTATAATTCTGACTGTCTTATTGTCCTTCATTTAATTATGTTGCAGACTGTCTTACTGTCTTTCTAGCTATATTGCTGGCTGTTCCTTACACAGCTATAGTGTTGTCTTTTTCACAGCTATATTGCTGTCTCTATCACACCTATATTGCTGTCTCTATCACAGCTATATTGCTGTCTCTATCACACCTATATTGCTGTCTCTATCACAGCTATATTGCTGTCTCTATCACGGATATATTGCTGTCTCTATCACGGATATATTTCTGTCTTTATCACGATTATATTGCTGTCTCTAAAATAGCAATGGTATTGTCTCTAAAATAGCTATAGTGCTGCCTGTATAGCTGTGCCGACTTTCCCCTCACAGCTACAATATTGATACTGACCCGTCCTACAGCTACTTTGTTAACTGTCCCCCACAACCGACCCTTCTCTATTCCCCCCTCCACACTACATGGCAGATAGAGAAACACCCAATCAAAAACTCGATAACAGCAGATAGACACTTCAAGGAGACCCGTTCTTTGTAACATCAACAATGAGATGACGTCTATAAATTACAGTTGTATTCAAATTACCCAAGTCTATATGCAGTTTTAAAAGAAAAAAAATATTTAAATTTTCTTTTTGTCTGGAAATTATTTTTGCACATGTTGTTTTTCACTTGAAACGATAACATACCTCATAATTTGAATAACGAAACTCGATACTACCAGATGTTGCAGAACGCTGTTTTAAGTATATAACTGGTGTTTACTTGGACTGGACACTTTATTTTGTGCCAGCTACCAGATTCAAGTGTTGTATCAACATGAAAACTCTTGTTCTTGTCGGTCTTCTGTCCGTTGTCGGCGTCACACTGACCGTGGCCCAAATTACGATAGTCAAGGGTACGTTTTTCTTCTTATCAAATGGGGTTTCTAACTTGCTTTCAATCTTGAATATTTTATGTCTCTTTTACGGTCATAGTTCTAATGTTGAAAATTACAGACTTTAATACATAATATAAATATTCACCACCGACATTGTTTCGTTTCTTAAAGTAATAGATGTTTGCTTTTAAATAATAGACGAATACTATTCAATATTATTTAGACAGATATTTTGTTATAAATTAAATACCTGAATTTTATGACACTTTGTAGAAAAACTTATTTTACGGTGAGGGGTCGGCGTGGTCGAGTCGGTAAAGCTCATGGTTGCTAAACCGAAAAGTCTCGAGTTCGAACCCCCGGGCAGATGAGGCTCGTTAGCTGGGGACAGCCACTCTTCTAGGAGAGACAACTCCAAAAGGCTATGGAAGCAAATCCAAAAAGAAAAGCAGGCTGAAATCGGAGTCAATGGCCTCAATGGCGCATAACCAGTTGACACGTAACGCTTAATTGTGTTGGAGGCGTGGTCGAGTCGGCAAAAAGCTCATGGTTGATAAATTCGAACAAAGTCTCGAGTTCAAACGCACTGGCAGATAAATCACGATCCCCTTCAACACTAATAATTAAGAAAGAAGAAGAAGAAAGAAGATTTAACGGTGGACATATTGTTAAAATTAAAAAATGGTGCTTTTGGTTTACATTAAATTTAAAAGATGGTACTTTTAGTTTACATTCGACACAATTTTTAAAACAAAATGTGTTTCATACTCTAGAGACAGTTACATTTAATTCTAAAAGAGAATTGCGAAAAAAAACGAATGTTTTAGTATTTTTGGATTTAAGTGTTTAACTTCTTAAGAATCTAATGGTATCCAAATGTTGATTGAATTGATTTATAAACGAACTAGATTCTACATGTCCAGCGTTTCACACACTTAGTAAGTTATGTAGTCCTACATTTTTTTCTAAACAAAAAAACGGTAGTGTTATTGTTAGATCTGGTATCGACGCGAGTTTCGTTTACAAATTTGAAAATAAAAGTCACTACACAAAGTATTGCCTAATTCCGTTTCTACCCAAGACATGTAGAGCAGGTAATGTAATGTTACCTGTTCAGTGACGTTGTCAAACAGTGGGATAGGGTGGTCAGCACTATGCCAAGCCCACTTTAGTTTTCGTAAGAGTCAGGTACCCATCAGACATGAGTGGATTCAGGACGTTCAACGTTCTCTAGCCCGTGATCCAAATACTCTCCTCTTTCATACCGCGGTGGAAAAAGACATAAGATTTATCTTTACTCCCCAAATGTGTCATTTCTAAAAAAATATTTAGCACACCGAAATCAATGGCTCCTTTAATATTTCATTTTTTTGGCATTCCCCATATCGCTTAAAAGAAAACTGAATTCCGTCTGTTGTTTCTCCATGACAGGGCCGTGTCCTAATGGGGTGAAAGTGGGAGGCGTGTGGTATGAGGCAGGCTGCAAGAAATGCCAGTGTCTCAAAGACGCGTACTCATGTGCAGGGTAAGTTACGTCATTGTCTAGTCGATGTACATTCTAACGTAGTCAATGGGCTGTTTTGTTACTCAGTTAGGTATAGTTTACTTTTACATATATAAAAATATGTATTTATGTATATACACACACAAATAAATTATATATATATATATATATATATATATATATATATATATATATATATATATATATATATATATATATATATATATATATGTGTGTGTGTGTGTGTGTGTGTATGTATGTTACGGTATATTTACAATATAATTACGGTAATAATTACATTAAAAATAATACAGTGAATATATATATATATATATATATATATATATATATATATATATATATATATATATATATATATATATATATATATATATATATATATCCTTACAGTTGTCCGAATATGGCCTTTCCTGCAAATTGTATTGTCACATTCGAGAACAAGGGCAACAACCCTGACTGCTGCAAGCCAACCTTTAACTGCACAAGTTACAAAGGTTGAGAAAACGGAAAAGTTATCACGGAGAAAATAAAGAAGTCCAGTTGATATGAGTTTTTGTTTCCTTTATTTGTCATATGTTCTGTCTGCATGTAGCAGATGACTGTTATAGATAGAACGGTTTAGTAAAATACCTTTGCGTGCAACTGAGAAAATACGGAAAGAAACAAAACCAGCGCACAAGCAGGCATACATTTAAAAAAAAAACATGCACACACTCACCCATCCAAAATACAAACACACACACACGCTCTACCATAAAC